CTCCCCCTCTCCCATGTCCCCCAGGAACTGTGGGTCCCGTTGTTTTCTCCTCCAGATTGCTCATCCAGCCTATCCTATTTAGACAGACCTGCGGAGATAATAACATGCACAAAAACAAAAAAGCAAGCAACAAGACACAACAAAACAAAAACAAACCAATGACAAAAAACAAAACAAAACACAACAAGAAAGAAAAGCTTGTAGTTAGTTCAAGGACTGTTTGTTGGCCTTTATGAGTGTTTTCCAGTCCAATCTGTTGGGGCACCACGCCCTGGCCCCAAAATGTTGGTTGTTTTTATAGCCAAGTCTACACCGCTATAAACCAGAGGTCAGCAGACAGTAATACTGCAGTCTCCTGGGCCATTTATTAGGCAAAAAGGCAAATAACATGTGTGTTGTATGTTGTCAGGAGCCGTGGTGGTATAGTGGTTATAAGTTGGGCTGCAATCTGCAAGGTTGGCAGTTTGAAACCAGCAGTGGCTTCTTGGGAGAAAGATAGGACTTTCTCCTCCTGTAACCACTGGCAGTCTCCGAGGCTCACAGAGCAGGTTTATTCTGTCCTACAGTCAGTATTGACTCAATGTCAGTGAGTTTGTTGTTGTTTTGTATGGTTTCTGCACATCACACAACCCCTCATACATTAGTTTCCTAATGTGTGTGCTATGTGTGCATGTGTATTATTAACAGGAGCATGGTATAGGTGTAAATGTGGTATTCAACTCTGCTAACGTAGCATGAAACCACCGTAGACAATACGGGAATGAGTGCATGTGGATATGTTTCAATACAGCTTCATTTACAAAAAGGGGCGGCTAGGTTGGATCGATGACTGTGATTTGCCAACTGTGGGTGTAAGAAACAAGAGTCCACAGCGCAATAAAGCATCAATCAATCTCCGGAACATCTCCCAGACTTCCTCTGGTGAGCAGGAAATATTGTGCACGCGAATGACACTTTGCTTTCTTATATATTCAACGTCATATTCACTAAACTTGATATGCAGCGGAATCAATTTTTCTGTACATCATATTTACCTGTGCATAGTCACCAAAAGGCTGAGAATACGGAATGCACTTTTCCAGTGCATGCTGCGGCTCATTTCCCTGGGAGATTGCTTCCAGAATGTTGCTTGTGATGCCTGTCCTCTGTAGAGCTGTTTTGCTCGCAGGGGCTAGGTCGAAAACCAATGTTTATTATATTTAGGTTGCTTTCTTACGCATGACAAACGGTGTAAAATTTATTACTTCAGCATCTTCTCAAAGAAAACACAAATTCTAGTTGGCCAATATATGCTATCTATATTTATTATCCTCGGAGCAAAACCTAGACTATGAGCGCCTGATTCATCTGAATCAACTAAAAGGGAAATTCGAGCTATAGGTAAATAATTTTTATGAAAACATCAGCATCTCTAAAACAAAGCATACAAAATGTACACGGCCTCCTGTGGTTAGTACAATCGTTGCTCCCTTTAGCGCTTAGATGAGACTACCAAGAAGTACGCCTGCCTCTGGAGACACATCTAGAACGTTTGCTTGCCTTTCACAACAAGGACCAATTGCTGTTTGGCTGTAAGAGGATATTTAAAGGCAGAGAATGTATATTAAAAATGGAATTCAGACTTCATCTCTTTGCATTCCCTCCTAGCCTCCCACTTACAATTTAAAATGGGTTTTTTTGCCAATTTATTGCATGCATCTGTACACGCGTGGGTACATGCAACAGTGGCTGGTGTGAAATCAATGTAAATGAAGTCATGGCATGCACACATGTGTTGTTTCCACTCCGCAGGAAGTGTTGGAGGCCATTCTGTGCCCGGGCATGTAGATAGCCACCCATTTCCTTCCAATGTTTGGTATTCCATTTGACGAAGGACAATTTGTGCAATCAACCATCCATGTACGGTTGGATGTGAGGACATTTTCCCATCACTTTCCCACACCACGTTTGGGATCATCTCTTCAGACCACAGTCCAGTAAAAGTTAGTCCATACGGACTGAAGGTCTGGGAGAGTCTCTCAATGAGTCACCCGAGAATTCCACTTTTGCTGACGCTCATACACGGGTGGCTCAGCCATTTTGGGGATGTTTCTGTTTCTTTTCTGAGTTGTGTCGATGTCTTGGGAAATACATATTCTGGATACATTAGATTACCTAGAGGTGTAGCCTCTGGTGTAGCAATACTCCTACATGGAAAACAGCATTGCCAATCCTTCCTTAGCTCCGACAATTTAACACCCAAACTCTATTGTAACTCACTAATTTGATTATATGCTTAATTAACTAATAAAAAAACAAGCAGACTCACAGCAAACTGCAGGAGAGAGCAGAACTGCCCCGTGAGTCTCCCAGACTCCTCTTCTTCTTTTTTAAAACATATCATTTCATTGGAGGCTCTCACAGCTCTTACAACAACTCATACATCAATTGCGTCAAGCATATTTGTACATCTGTTGCCATCATTATTTTCTTCTGTGCGTGTGTGTGATTGTTGGAGTGAACTTGTTTGTCACCTGACTCCAAGTGCATTTCAGGTTCACTTTCCTCCTGTTTTCCTCTAAGCCGCTCAGACCCCTGTTCAGGTTCGAGGCCTAAGGAACCTGGAGTCACCACTATTTCTAAACATCCCTTTCTATTGGAGCCCATGGTATCTGGTCCTCTTTCCCAGACTGATTCTTAATTAAAGCACTGTAAACATGTTTTCCTCAAATAAAATAGTATGCATTTGTGTTTTAATGTTAGCTTTTGCATGAATTTAAGAGGATGTGGAATCATAAACTGAAGTTTAATTTGCTCAACCGTTATTCTTCGTGTCCATTAATTTTAAGACGGAAGTGAAACCCCCGCGGTGGGAGTTTCCCAGTCAGACTGCAAAGCGCAAGCACTTACGTGACAAGCACACGCTGGGCAGCACACTCGCCAGGTTCAAGTAGGGATTCTTACTGAGCCGGATCTCTTTGGGAGGTTCTCCTAAGAGTGACGTCTGACTTTTAGCAGCAGCCTATTTATGAAAAACAAAAAGAGGGCATGCAAATAAGAGGTATGGGAAAATAAAAATGCAGAAAGAACAGAGAAATTGTTATTCTGACGATTTGTGGAATCTAAACTTTTGAGCATATGCATTCTATGAAGTATTTCTGGGTGTTTCTATAACCTAACATCCATTATTTCAAGGCCAACAAGTTGTCAGTTTGCCATGCCGTGGTGGCATGCATGTGGCTGTGATACTGCCAGCTAGACCCCTGGGATTTCCAATACCAGCAGGGTCACAGAGGATGAGCAGGTTTCAGCAGAGCTTCCCGTCTAAGAGCAGACTGCCGAGAGGGAATAGCCCATCGACTGCAGAGGAATAAGCCACCGAAAACCCATGCTGACGGTGGACCACTGTCAGAGGGGTGCCAGAAGACGAGCCCCGCGGGGCAGAAGGCACACAAACAGCGACTAAAGAAGAGCTGCCTTCGCAAAGGAGAGTGAGCCACAGAGACAGGAGGGGGCAAAGCCTGCGGACTTTACTTCAGGACCTTCATTTG